TCCACCGACTGATAAACAAAAAAATGAAAGATCAATGTCTTCGCAAGAGATACTGCAAAGCTATGTTTACAGCCCACAAACGTGTCTGTTGTCAAGGGTTAAAGAGCATACAGAAGCAAGAAACTGACAAAAAAAGGCAGGTTTATTCCCTCTATATGCAGATCTATGCTGAAACACATAAAATACAGATATTCCTGTAGCACAGTAAAAAGCTTTGATGAATTGAGTTCCCTGATAAGTAATACTTTGGTCAATCAGTCACTCGAGTGTTTGCATAACAATCCTCTGTTATAGGAGAATATTTTTGAGAGGGTGTCCTCCTTAGCTTTTATTGCACAGTTGTTCCAAGCATTTCAGACTTGAGGTCCCATACACAACAATGCAGTTCAAGACATTCGAGCAATTTTCTTTTGAGGATTTAGGTGTTTGGTAGCTCACCCTGTGTTTTACAATGACTCTACCCTAATCATTGGTACATACAAATGCTGCACAATACACCATAAATAAATCACTGATTTAAACTATATACACCAGGGATTAGGAAGGCTGTGCGCCATGCGCGTATGGCGCATAAAGCTACGAAATGGCCCATTATAAAAATACTTACGGGGCCTGTGATGCGCCCTGACTGCACAAAGCTACTGAAATATATACTATTTTGTGAAAAGGATTTTAATTTGTAAAAGTTTCACTTTGGTGAGACATAAACAAGCGAAAAACTACGGTGCCTTCGCTCGTTTGATCACGCTCGCTTCATTCTTATTCCCAGATCCTGAACTCGGACTCTGCATGCAAACGAGGCTATTGCTCGGCGTTCCATGTGCTTTCTTTTTCGAGCAGAGTTCGAGCGTTTTTGTTGCTTTGAATGTATTTGCATCGATTAGCCTCATGCCTATGAAAAAAAATCTTGAGATTGGACAGCTCGCAGAGAACGTTGTCTACATTTTTCAACACAACAGCGGAGCAGAATCATGATACTGTGAGCGAAAACGACCGTGAAACGGACGAAACAGATGGTTTAACCTAAACTTAATGGTTTAAAATCTGTAACCTATTTGTTATTGGCAAAATGAACAAACATTTACTGTTATTGAACTTATTCTGACCTTAAAATATGGTTATAACAATAATGGTCAAAACAAATAATTTTTTGTTGTCAAAAACAAAGTAATTAAAAAACATAACTGATGTCAGAAACAATTATGTTTCATTTGGTTAGTGTCAGGTTAGTGCAGCTTTTATAGAAGACCACTGTCAATTACTGAACTGCCGAATGGTTGATAGCAATTTATCATCACCGTTTTGTTCTGGTGGTCACACGACATTTCAAAAACCTTGAAGATCACTTGAAGTTAATATAGCGGATGGTTATTCATGGCAACGGTTTTTCATGCCTAAAACCATGTCTCTGTATAGGTATAGACTGTAATACACAAGCAATAAACCTTTGTTAAAATTTTTACTGGCCCATTTATTTACCCTAATGGCCCAAACGTTTTATAAATGGCCCATAACTTTCCAATGATAGGGGCCATAGGCTCATTTGCCTGTTAAACCTTCCTAATCCCTGATACACAAACACATTTCTCTACATAAACAAAAGAAACAACTCACTGTGTGATTTAATGACTCACTAAACTGGGCTCTGCATTACATACAACCATGTTTTCATTTTACCATATATCACTCAACCCCAGACTACCGAGTTAATTTGGTTTGAAAATATCATCCAGATATGAACATATTTAAAACATGATAAATGGGGAAAAGAAATAGAACTTGTATGACCATGTAAAACCATATATGTGAAGTTTAAAGTGTGAATAAGTAAACAACATTCAGTGATCAATTTATAACAACATCCCCAGCCCATCAAAACCCAGCCAGAAGCCAAAATTTTATATTAGAAACATACTTTATTATTCCATTTTCAAATTTAATCCCCATAAGAAGCAATATAACTTCAACAAACCTGCTATACACAAGTTTAGAAGCAAGATTTTTTTTAAATTTTAATTTTTGCCTATTTTTTCAAGGCAAAGTCAAGCCCAAAGACTTTAAAAAATATTGATATTAGGCTAAAAGTTGCAATTTAAAAATGGTGTAACTTTAGGCTTCAGTTCCTCTTTAACAGATGTTAATATATGATAATATCTCACCGAGTCCTTGTAGACCAAGTTAACAGTTAAACCAAATGGACGCCCGCCAAATGATTCATGAGGTTTAAATGCATATTCAAAGGATGCCTGACAAAAAAAAGACAAATTGACCATTGACCATGGTTGACCATGGTTGACCATGGTTGACCATGACTTTCAAGGGCAACCCCTTTCATAGTGTACATTAAAAAATCACAATTTTTAGCAACTTCTTTCTAATATCTATTTGAAACTAACTGTGAATGGTAAAGAACCCCCCTAAACTACAAGTATTGATTTGCAATGATCAATAAGGCAAATGTCCATGTCTAACACAAATTTAAAAGCAAAGAAACTTTTGACCGGCCTAAACAAATGTATTCATGTGAACATGTCAATCTTATTTTTGTTCTTTCAGCAACACCCACCTGATTGCCTGGCTGTACAACAATGTTATATTGGAAACCAGTGAACTACAGAAATTTGAAAATAAATGAAAAAAATTAGCAAACCTCAATTTAAAATTTCTTTTTCAAGGGAAATAAACATATAAACTTCCACCAGAAATTCTAAAGATAGGTGCTTCTTTTGAAAAGGCAATTTAGTTTGTACCATAGAAACTTAAAAACATTAAATAATGCTAATCTACACTTACGTTTTGGATGTAATAGGTGTAATCTTGAGGATACCTGCGAATAACGCATCAAGAAACTAGTTAATGCTTCAATGTAACAAAAAAGGTGGGGAGCACATTTCAACATAAACATATCTTGGTAAAGGGGAACTTTATTGAAATTTATTTTTATCCACCAAGAACAGTACAAAAACCATTTAAACTGACTACAAAAAAAAAAATAATTACCTGAGAGAAGCTTCCGCATGTTCCACAATAAAATCATTCTTGCCATTATTACCAAGGCCAATGAGACACTTAATTACTTCCCCAGCTGGAAATACTGCAATACATACAAACGAGAACCAATGAAAAATTATAAAAGAGGTTTAGAATGTCAGTCAGGCACAAACTGTGATTGAATGAATGGAAATAACTATGAAAAGGGTTGCCCTTGAAAGTCGCATGTAATTTGACAACCTGAATGGAAGTCAGAATGAAAAAGTGAAAGAGAGGTTGCTAAATTCCATCCCAGCTGAAACAATCACACAACATCATGCACTATGCATGAAGACAAATTCACCTCTGGACAACATTTCAAAGACGACATTCAAAATACCTTGGTTTCCAGGCTTGGTGAAGAAAATAACTGTATCAGCATCAGGAGATGGCTTGAGAGTTTCTTCCTTTTCCTCTTCTTCCTCAGTAGACTCTGCATCAGTTTTCTACAGGAATAGAAAAACCTGTGATGCATAATGAATTGATGACATCTTCAACCATTTGTTATCAAGCCCAAAAATTAAGTAAATTAACATGCATAGCTGTACAACCACAAAATTACTGTACACATGTGAAAAGCAAAAAACTTTAAACCATGTATGGCTGCATTCAAGATAGTCTTTACAAACACGAAATAAGAAATAAATATAATTCTCTCGCTACTATAGTTTACAAGTGTTTTAGAATAAATACTGCACAGTACTCTGTTGGTTTTAAGTCAAACCTGAATGTTTCTATCATTGATTTTACTTGCAAATTACAAATTACATGTAGAACTTACAGAGTCTGCTGGAGCTGGACTGTCTTCCTTGTCATCTTCTTCCTCATCTTCAGCATCCACCTGTTTGACAAACATACATGTAATGCAAATTAAAATTGCATTATCCAAACAAAGACAAAAGTTACACTACATCAATAAGGAATAGGATTGGCCAGAGAAATCAGTGACAACTAATGGAATTTCGCTTGTCAAGATGTTAATTTTAAAATGTCCTTCATTACATGGTGACTTTTGATGATATCAAAAAGTACATGCAAGCCAAAAGTTATTGCATCTAACATTTCATTTATTTCTTAAGGCATCAAGCCCTGCTCTGTTAATTTCGTGGTCTAGCATCAAATATCAAAAGTTAATTCAAGTCAAGAGCTTCAGAAGTATGATAACATCTTAGTTTGACCTTTCCATCATCCGCATCTTCAACAACTTCTTCAACATCTTCCTCATCTACTGTAGCCTCTGTAGCGTCTGCTTCGGTTGGTTGTGCGACCTCTTGTTCGTTTTCAACTTCGTCTTCCCGGGCCATAACACATACATCTATTTCAGACCCAGTGGTTGAATGCCACGTATACAAAGACGCCAAAATAAAACACATGAGCATAACTCAGGAAACAAACCCTCCATACCGTCAAAACAACCCAACTACTGCTCTACACAGACTTAAATAAATTGATAACAAGTCCTCAGACAAAATAAGGGAAATCACTCGCCCAACGCGAAGGAAAAAACAGGTCTATTCCTCACGAACAGAGAGAATGTAGCAATCGAGGAGAAATACAACGGAAATTACAGTAAAACACTTTCAAGACCGAAGATAACCCTCCAAAAGCTCATTCAAACTGTCTTTTATCCGCGTTGGTAAAATCATTCCAAATGCCTAACACATCACAGGACACAAGAGGGCTTTAAAAGAACGTACATACTTTAGTTACAACATAAAAGGTAAAAATCACGGAAGACTAGCTTACTCACCATTTCCAATCAGAACTAGCGATACCGGTAAAATTAAAAGAAAAAGAAAGAGAAGTTTCTGTAGTAAAGAGAACATAATGGATTATTGTAAAAACCGTTCCTTCTGGCAAGATGGAAACGGATTCTCCGACTGTGTTTTCACACAATCAGATGAAAATGGCTGCCAGAACAAAGAGAACACATGAACTGGGAGGCCGCGAACTTGACTTGTCAGCGGCATTCCAGATGACAAGTTACCAGGTTTTCCGCAGCCCAAATATTTCAAAGTGTTAGAATAAGAAAATTTCACTCTTTCCTCGCCAAAGAAACTTGATTTCAGTATGCTTATCAAAGTGAAGGTATTTTCATTTCGATTCTTTAGGATTAATAATTAGTTTCCTCTGTTTTTAACTCTGTATTTCCTTTTTCCCTCTCTCCTGAAGACTTTAACAGGAAAAGAGGTAAGATTAACATTTGTTCATACGAATGTCAGATTGTCCATATCTGTGACTTAAACGCCTGATAAAAAGTGCATTTTTTTTGAGAGGGGATATAAGAAAATAGACATTATAATCCTTACTCATTGCCATACTCCTTCGGTTAAATGAATATTAGGTTCAGATCACCTAAGTTTCTTTGAAATCAAATTTTCATTATTGTTACCTACAACACCTACAACACCCCTTGCATGGTAAAAACATGACAGGTCTCAGTGCAGAAAAAATGAGTTTCCTTTGTTCTACAGCATAATTGTCCAGCCACTAACAATTTTTTCGACTTATGGCTTTTACAGACAATTTGGAAACCTTCTCTCATTACTTTAGGTTCACATTTTTTTAAAAACCATAAACAATGACATTATTTATTTCAATTACCAGATTGAGATTGACATTGAGCCTACAGACAAGGTGAATATTAAAGTACAGCTAGTAGCCTCAGGCACAGGGTTTTTATGAATAAGAGAACTAAATATTAAAGAACAACCCTAATACCAAAGGTCCTCTGATATACAAGTGTAATACTTTTATTGAAATTTATGTACTTCAGTAACAAGTATCTGGTGATAAAACATTAGCAATAGCAAACTAAGATTTGGTCTACCTAGATAAAGAAGAGTATAGTCTACTTCAAATAAATAATTTGCAATGTGTTTATTATTGGAAGGTATAAACAACCATCCCATGTCTCTTCAGTGACACTGTGCTTTTGCATTTATTATATTTATCCAGTTGGAGATCTCCTTGTTATGTCACAGTGTACTTGTGAATTATTTATTCTCAATAAATGAAAGTAAGAATAAGTCCTGTCTGAACTTATATTGGGAAGGCAGAGAGAAGCAGTTGTCCAAAATTCTTAACTCCCATACTTTACTTTTGTTGTTAAGGTTGAAAGAATAAAAGAGAGAGTTGAAGAAAAGGAAGGAATCCCTCCTCCACAGCAAAGGTAAGATTTGCTATCCATGATGGTTCACTAGTTTTGTGTAACAGTAAAAACCTGAAATGCAAACACTCAAAATTGTGCCTGTCATTACAACAAAACTTTTCATGATAAAAGTCTTAGAATAACTTCATTCACACATTTAATAACTAGGACTGGTACAAGTTGATTCTTTGATAGTCTAGAGCCACTTACTCTTGCCTTAAAATGTCAAGTAACCTCTTGCTGACCATACTTTTGATCTGGCCCCAGTTATTTGGAGGGTAGATGACACTATCCACTGGATACATCTCTATCTGTTGGATGGGTTTTTTTTAACACTTATCCACTGGGTAGCAATTTATCCATTTGATAGCATTATCTGCCCTTTCAAAAACTGGACCCAGCCATAAGAGTATATGTCTAAATGACTGTTATACATGGTGAAGTACTGATGAAAAAATGTATTAAAAATAAATGAAATTCTATTGGTTTTGTGAGTGGCAATCAGCCTAGACCTTTACACCTTTTCTAGATTTTACAAGGAACTCTCCCAAAATTTATTGAGAGGTAGTGGGGAATTTATGAAGTTGCTTCACTCTGCATTACAAGATCTGGGTTTGACTTATAGCCCCCCTCAATATGTTTTGCTCTTAAAATGAGCCATTTTGCACTCACAGTGTCTCTCTACCAAAGGCTGTAAATGGGATATCTCAATCTGCCTTGGGGTATGGGGTAATCTGCAGTGGACTAATGTTCAATCCAGGGGTAATAGAAATACTCTTAGGAGCGTTGTGGGAATAGAGAGTAATTGAAATGCATCAGTAGGGAGGCTAGTGGGCTTGTGACACTTATATTCATTTATTGTATTGTTTCAATACAAGATCTTCTTTAAGGTTACTGAACAATAAGGTGTCTTTCAGAAAAATTGTCCTTCATGCACTATCTTAAAGAAAACCATGGAAAACTATAAATCACTGTTAAGCTTAAAAAGTTTGGATTTTAAAAACAATTTTAAAAAATTTAACAGTTTTTGTTTTGGTAGGGACATGCAAGCCTTTAAACACAAAATTGACTGAATTTACTTAATTACTAGCCTCTGCATTTCTATGGACATCCAAACAAACTGGACTGTGTCACTCGGGAGATAATAGGCTAACACTGTCAGTGTGTGATATTTTTCACACTTGAAATATTTTTTTCACTTATTGTAGACCATAGAAAGACACAAATAGGTCAGATCATCTCCCCTCAAAAGCCAAGGAGATATTTGCTTCATCATTACTAGGTTTTTCTTCCTATTCATAGCTACATGGCCTCTGGTTATACTAACCTTGTTATTTTGTTTCTTCCAGGTTAATATTTAGTGGAAAGCAAATGTAAGTACCCAGATACACATGCAGAACCATCATTGCTTATAATTAATTCTGATAATACAATGGTATTATTTTTGCATTGTTGTGTCTATATGCCCACTTTCAGATTACCATAATTGTACATTTTAAATTCAAAATAGTGTATTTCACAGAATTATTTGACTTACTATTGAAGGTGATAACACTATTTAGAAGCTAAGGCTTTTACATCAGTAATTTAAGCAGCCTAGTGAAATCAGATCTGGAGATTTGAGTGATTCCTAAAAATGTCCTTGTTTTGTTAAAGACCAGGGTCTGTTATTTTTTTATTTTATTTTATTTTTTTTATTTCACACTCTCAGCTAACATTTATGAATGGGAACCATTTACCACTTATCTTTCTGTAGGTTTTATCAAACACAATTTTTTCAGTCAATACAACTGCCCCAAACCTGAAGGCAATGGTCCATACACTAGTGCATACTACAAACCTACATTCTCACATAGTTACTTGTTGTATTCATCTTTGCTTCCATCACATGTCAAGAATTCTATTCCTTTTTCTTAGTTTCTTAGACTTCATTGTTTATGTAGTGACAACTCTGATTTTTCCAACAAATCAGAGGTAATGTGCCAGTTTTTGGAAACATGTGGCTATCCTGTTTCTGCCATCCAAGTGGGCCACTACCCTGCCCAACAAATTGATTAACAGTCAGCATTACAAACATCGCAAAAGGAAAATACTGATTGTATTCCATTCATTCTCAGATTTCACTCTCATAACCATGCATTTAAATCTATCATCCTTAAAAACTTTAAATTACTCTGAAATGATTCAGACACTGGAACTATCTTCTCACAACCTCCACTAATCTCATTCAAATGTGACAAAAACATAGACAACATTTTGGTCAGGAGTTCAATACAAACTAATGACCAACCTGGAACTTTCACCTGCGCTCTCCCACAGTGTAAAACTTGTCCTTTGGTTCATTATGTCAAGAAAATACTGGGACTCAAATGATCCATTAGGATTAATGATTGCTTCACATGCACCTCTGCCAATGTCATGTTTTGCATGACTTGTAAAAGATATACCTTGGTAAAACAGGAAGACATCTTAGTGACTATTCTGAGAACATCTTTGGGATGTATAGAAGAATGACAATGATGCTTCCAAACCAGTCTCTAAAAACTTTAATTCCTCTCATCATTCCAAGCAGCATATGTCAGTCTGTGGCCTTCCCCTACATCTAAGGGGTTCAGAAAGCCACAAAACTCTAGAACAAAAATTTATCTTTCAAATCAGTGCTCTTAATCCCCTTTGTATCAATGTACACTTTTCATTCAGCTAGTTTATTCATGTTTTTCTTGTTACCATGTTCCCACTAATAGCCTTAGCTCTATTTTCTGCATATAAACACACACAACCCACAATTCCTCTATTTGCTCTGATGAGGGGCTAATGCTTGAAATATCAGCCTAGAAACTCTTTATGGTGGCCAATTTACTTTATCAACTTAGTTGATTAAACCATATTAACATTTATAAACCTTTTTGTGAAGGAATGATGACAAAACTGCAGCAGATTACAAGATCCAGGGTGGATCTGTTCTTCATCTTGTACTGGCCTTAAGAGGAGGGCTGTTGTAATAGTAGAATAACAATAATCATCAGTTTAGTAATTAGAAAATATGTTTTGTTCAATGTTTTTTGGGAAGCAGTCTTAATTGTACTCTATCATAGTTTTCCTTCTTTTCAGTGTGATAAAAATGTAAAATACATGCTGTTTTTGTAACCTTTGTGTTATATTTTTTTCAACTCTAATCTGGTAATGGAATAAAACGATGCACATAGTGACTTTTTTGTTGCTGTTACCTCCAGATTATCTCTCTGAGAACCCTATGATCATGTCTTTCCTTTCCCCATTTCCCTTTCATGAGAGGTGGGAATTTCCTTTTTTTTCCTTTTCCTCACTATGAAGTAAAACAAAAATTAAATAAGAAAAAGAAAAAAATTTGCCCCAAATTACTCCCTATGGTACTTAGAGATTATGAACAGTCAAAATATTTGAGATGCCATTATTTTTATTTGCTCCTTTAAGTGCACCTTTGCTCCTTCATATAATCATTCCCTCAACAAATTTGTGACATCGTGGCCCTACTTCCAGCTGACAGTGAGAAACAAAGTGAGGTGATGTTAATTAAGAGCTCACAGATAATTAGTAGTCCATTCTTCTCACTTTTTGCCCTGAAAACAATCATCAATTAAAATTTAAGGGGGATGCTTATTTTTCTAGGTCAAGATTTCCAAGTTTTTATCCTTCTTGCTTCCGGTTTTCATTATCATGACAGTTTAGGGTATATGATCACAAGTTTGGGGTAAAACCTAAATAAGATGAAACAAAATCCAATCCAGTTCAACATTTTTTTTTGAGTAGTTTTTGTGCTTTTTGAAAATCCCCAACAAGTTAGTCCAACAAAGTTAAAGCTAGAAATAATACTAATGACACATGCACAGACACCTAAGCAGTAATACTAAAGTAATTTCGCAATTAAAATGCATTAACATGGTGAATAGCCATTGGCTCTACCCAAGTCTTATGACTTATATGCTGAACAAATTGCTCAATCTTAAAGAAAAGGGAAAATACTATTATGTACCCTGCCTGTACCCAGTACAGACCTCTTAGTAATCAATGTCTAGATTCATATTAATTAATAGAGATTAATATTCACTGAGAAAATGCCTTTTGAACGGCTCCAAGAGAGCAGAAAAAGGAAGGATAAGACTTTGATAGTAGGTTAAAGGCTTGGCTGCTGAGCAAGATTCAAAATCACTGCTTGTAACACTAACTTTCCTCCAGACTGAACATTACTTTGAATGGTTATGCTTACACTATTGAGTATCAAAATGCTGGCAATGTCATAACTTGTTCATAAGCGAAGATAAAAAGTGTATGGTTTCTGGAGGATACTTTATTTCCCCATCACTGATAATTGAAAGTGATGTAAAGTACTATACTACTGGTCAAACATAACCAATTTTTTCTTCTCCATTAATTTCTTCATGCATAGTGTGCATCTCATTCCTCATGAGGGTTTACAAATTGCGCGTGAAAGTCTCGTGACGAGTATTTACCTTAAATGGAACGATTGAACTTTGTTCCATGTGATTGTGACGCAGGCGCAGAGAAGTAAACATTACATCATCTCATCAAGTGATCATACCAAAACAAATCGATCGGTTGATTTTAGCGGTGTTTTTAAGGGCGTCGGAGTTTGTATCAAAAAGGGGAGTATGTCAGAGGAAGAAGCCGAAGGCTCCATACAGGTGGAAGATACATCTGAAAAAGAAAACATCGAACCTCCGTTAAAGAAAGCAAAATTAAGGGAAGACAGAAAAAGCGATCGGCTTGTAAAATTGGAGGCTCGTTTAAACGACATCCTTAGCTGTACAGTTTGCCTTGATTTACCCACCAAATCGGTTTTTCAGGTAGGAATAAAATTAATTAAATGTAGGGATGAAATCTCAAGCTGTTTGGTCCAATGGTAACTATTGCTAACTTCAATAATCTGGTCTTTTAGGATTCAAAATATAATTCATTTCGGTGATGTCAATTCTGGTTGCATCGTTTAATACCTGCATTGCCTTTGCGCTTTGTTATTATCTCCTATCCAATAACTATGTGTCAACGATACACCCCATCGTAGGTTTTTGTATTGTAAAGATAATCTCTTTTTTTCTTTATTTTGCACAGCCGTGCTTGTCAACAAGGTTAGTTTTATACTCAAAGGTCAAAGTGTGTTGCGATCCTTGCCGAAATTACGGACAGTGGTTACGTTACGTTTTCGATTTGCACTACGCAACAACCACACCATCGTTTGACTTGTAGTTTTTTCTAGAGAATTTTGTGTCGATCGCGTCTGTTAGGAAGCTCATTTTGTTAGCTCTACGTTTATGTGTCATTGTTATTTGTTTCATTGGTGATAGATTTATATAATATGAGAATACGTTGTCTCTGAAGAAATCGATGTAGTACGTACCAACGCTTCATTAAGATTCTGTCATACTCAATTATTTATGTGAAGAATCGATTTCATGAGGCGTTGAAAATTTAATTCCCATGGTGAAGGTTTTACTTCTTTTATCACTCTTTATAGATTATGTTAGTTTCGTGGCCACTTACGGTCCCCAACAAACTTATTATTTTCATCAGAAAGGAATTGTCTCCTGTGGTGCAAACATTTCAATCAGTCTACATCAATGTCAGCTGAAGAAAGTTTATTCGATGTGACTTTTGGTTATAATACTAGGTGGTGAAAACTTCTTGTTTACTTTAACTGCAGCAAGGAAAATCGAGTTCTTCTGACAACCCCTTTCTCTGATTTTAGAACTATTTGTGGTTAATAACATCATTAGCACTTTTGTGTACCAGTGAATTTTGTGGGTCATCCCTGAAACTATTAATTAAATTTTAATTATTACCCAGGATAAATTATGGTTTTAAAGGTGGAGTGGGTCAGAAATTCATGATCATTTAATGCTGCACTCTAAATTTCAGCCACTTTTATGGAGTGGCATTCTCCAGCTTTATTGTCATAATATAAGAATAAATTATCTTATGGAAGGTGTGCAAAATACACCCTGTTCTGTTTTTATTAACTTGAGTTTGATTTTTGATTCAGTGCCGAAATGGACACCTGATGTGTGCCTCATGCTTCACACATCTCTTGGCTGATAGCCGATTGAAAAATGAGCAGTCATCATGTCCCAATTGTCGAACAGAGATCAATCGCAATATCTGTTCACGTAACTTAGCAGTTGAGAAAGCTATCTCAGAACTTCCTGCAGAATGCCCATACTGCAATCATGAACTGCCACGGAGCCATTTGAAAAACCATGAGGAGAAGGAATGTTTAAACAGGTAAGTGAACTTTGTATTTGTATCAGTATTGGCTCTTCAATGTATTAAAATGTTTCTTTGGGTTGAATTATTGCTTTACTGTTGTTGATTTCTTCATCTTTTGCAGCCCTTAATATTTTTTGATTTTAAGTTATGTGTGGTGAAATAAAGTAGTGAAAACGATACTTTGTTTGCTTTGATCTCTTATTGTGTAAAGGCATGTGGGTTGGAAGGGATTTATGTGTGAAGCCCCAATATTTCGAATACAGGCAAAGCTTCTCTTCCATTTGCTTGGTATTTCCCTCTCCATCCAGCGCACATTCTGCAAACAATAAGTGCTGTGGAACATATTCTTAATTTCAATTTTACAACTTTCAAAGAAGTAAGCTAGGTGTTTTTGTAGTATCACCAGTTATCTTGATATCATACTGCAAAAAATGTAATAATCTGTTGTAAATTAACATGTCATAATTTTGAGCAATAGAGAGAATAGCTATTGCATGGTTATTCATATAGACATTAAATGATTTTTGGACTTAAGATGAGCACTATAACTAGAAACCTAGATAGTTAGTGGTGTATTGATTGCTTTGGTATGTATAAATATTGATTCAGTGTTAATGATTCATTAACAATATTTGATTGAAAGTATGAAATAAAATAGTTGAAATGATGACTCAGTGTTTTGCCCTTTAAATTTAGTGGGATATGCTTTATTTATTCAGCAAGGCCTTAATGTCAGTATGGGTAATGTATTATCCAAACTTTTTTGGTGACTTTGTTTCATTTGAAATTCCAAAGTGGATCTTATCACCAGTGTTGTCAATCTATAAGATGAGAATTAAGCAATTTGATTGTGGTGCAATCGACTTGCATTGCATTATGGTATGACCCTGTATGGCATCATGCTCTGCTGCGATTGATCAGTTTTTAACAGCTGTGATTGGTGTGTTTAATTGACAATATGTTCCTTCAGAGGTTTACTGTATTAGGGCTCTCCTGTACAGTTCTACAACTGTAGACTTCCACCCACTTAAGAATAAGGTTAAGGTTACATTCATTGAACATGACCCTTATTGTTACACAGGCAGGGGAAAGCAAGGAGGTAATTCACATGGAAATTCACCCTTGCATCATTAGTGGGATCATGGGATAGAAATTTCAGAAGCATATCATCAAATTCCCACAAACAAGAAACAAAAAAGAGAGCATTAAAACAGTAGCCTGCAGAGAGAACACATTCTCACAATGCATTAATCACAACTGTAGAAAATAAAACCAATCATGGCAGAACTCATCTTCATAAGGTGACATCTGATCAACCTCATTGCTAGAAGACTAGTAAGGTGTAGTTAAATGGTCACAAACCTGATGGGACAGAAGTTTCCATATTATGAGGCAGACAAGAACACCTACCTGTCAATTGCCTTTCCCCATGACAAGTGGACTACTCTTTGTGATATAAAAAACATTATGTTATCAAAGAGAAGGGAAGAACGGGGAAAAGAACACTACCATGAATACCTGATAGCTGGCTCCCAGCCCTCTTTGGAGAAAACAGAAATCCTTCACAATTGCACAAATTGTTTTTGGCATGGTGTAGTTTGTTTTGTAACAAGTTATCAGCTGCATTGTGATTTGGCTGGCACTGGTTAATTGAATTGTGGATAACTTTATCATCCAAATTCATCATGATCTGTCACATGGTTCATGCATCAGATAGAGATTGGCATTGTTCACAGGAACACCAAAGAGCCAAAAGATTCACAGAGCAGAAGAAAAGTTGTCAAAATAAAATACTCCATTAATCTGGATATTAATCAACTGTTTAAGTGTTTTGACAGGACGGAGAGCCCACAATAGGTGGTGGCAAATAAAGATGGAGCTAACAATGGTTTCTTTGGGAACATAAGAAACTGAAAAAGAACACTTTAAGCTTTCTTCAAATTGAAAAACCTGCCACTATGGAAGCAAACTCTTTTCTCTCAAAAAACAGACTGACCCCATTAATGATTGGACAGTGTCCCTTTAATTGGACGGTCAGGCTACTCCTAGTAAATAAAAAACGGACTTTGGAAACTGACATACTGATGAATCATGCCTCCTATTCTACCCACACATATCAGTAACCTTTTGTCCTTTTTACTTACATCATTATGTAACATTTCTAACCTTACTAATGGAAACATACAATATATTTCCATTAAATTCTGGCTGGGAAACTTTGGTCTTTCTTATGGCTTTGACTACTTGAATCACTAAGAGAGATGTTCCAAACAAGTTGGAAAACTTCATACCAATGACCGATATTGTATACATGAATTTGCAGTGTTACAGAGTTTGACTGAAAAGCAATATAATCTCTTAATTTTAATTTGTCTCTGAAATTAGCTGTGTCACTAGAATGAAATTTTCAGAACCAATAAAACCAGCATATGATGTGACTTTTAAAGATTCGAGAAGTGAAGTGCCACAAGAATCATACTTTAATATTTTGCACATTTGTGTTGATGTGTTCGTGAGTAGAGATGTTAAAATAACCGTAAGGATAATATTAATTATGCTTTTTCTACATTGATTGTGTTTAAATTATGCATAAGTCCTTGTGCTCACAACTTGTTAGCTTGTAAAGTTGTTCTATATACGCCTGCTGTTAAACTGTAAAATAATATATTTCTGTACATTTTGTACTTGGAAATGTGCAAACTTATCACAAGTGCATTGGTAGGTCCCCCTGGGGGCTGTCAATTACCAGGGCTCAAAAGCAGGGGGCTAATATGGGTGGGGGCATTTTTGTGTGTAGGAGTGGGGGTCTTATGGTTCACAAAAACTCGTTGATGGAAGCTCACATGATAGGGGTAGTTTCTTTTCCTTATCTGTCTACCAGCCATAGTGGGCACTGAGTGTAACATTTAATTTTTTCTTTTTCTTTGGGGCAGGGTACAGGGAGATCTACCTATTACTGGAATACTGCTAAGTCCAAATGAAAAACAATATGAGACCTTTTTCTTGGGGGTGGGAAAGGAGGGATAAATGGTCAGAACTTATGGTAAACATCTGGGCACAAGTGCTTTGTTTTCTTGATTGGTAATTCTCAGTATGTTCATACCACTACCTGGGGAGGAACTGGTCTTTAAAAAGTGGTTACAGATGTTAAGATGACAGTTTCACTTTCAGCTATCCACCCAGTGCTCATATTTTAATGTGGTCATTTGATAACAGTATGTACAGTCACCAAATGTAATTTTCCTGGTTACAAGGGTTATGGCTAAACCTTCAGTTACCGCAAAATATTTTTGTTTAGGTGAATATAACTTTAGGGAAATGAGATTCAGAACATGGAAGGAATTTCAGTAAATTATTTACTTAGTGGCAATAGTAAGTTAACTCATTAAAATAAGTAAGATCACCATTGTCAAGCTTCAGGGGATGTTTTACCACTAATAAAGCACAGGGTTTAAACTAACTGCAATGTGAATAGGCACACAAATTAGTGTCTGGATACACTGGCTGGAGAATTTATGTTCAGGCATAAGTATATATCCATGGTGCAATAACTTAAGCAGAGATAGTCTGTGAAGGCATTCAGTCTGTAAAATAATGCAAAATAGTTACTTTTGCTGATGCAAGCTTTGAGACAGGTTGGTCAACAAACCCAACCCAAACCTCCCTGATTTTTCTTTGGTCTTATGCTACTTTTGTGCTGTTTGCTACCGCGCTTTGCTTTGCCAACTGAATGCCTAGAACAGCTGAGAGTATTTTGCCAGTATTTTTTACGCAATCACTTCTTGAGTTAAAACAAAAGAATTAGAGTCTGTGTTTTGACCAATCACAGGTAATGTGACACAAATTTGAAACATTTCACAATTCACCCTCTCAAACTTAAATTTCAAAATCTTTGAATTTTGTAAATGTGCAGATTCAGAACTTCAGTCAGTTTAGGGGCAAACTAAGATATATTTAGCCACAACAGTCATAGAACAGCTAAGAGGCCCAATTAAGATCAAATGACCCCAAAAGACAGATTTCATGGAATTTGATTCAAAAGTAACTAAGGGGACTTCATCAAAACATTTGGATGTTTCTACATTGACTTTCTTTTGCTTTCTCTCGGCAGGTGGGAAATCTTCCTTCAGCAACATGCACCATACTAATGTTTATATTGTTATGTCTTTCAGCAATTCTCTTTGTTAAGGCTCTCTATTTTGTGCTTTTACCAAATTTTAAAACTGGATGTTTTGCATTTCAGCTTTGATTAGTGTCTTATGCTTTTTCAGGCCTGTGTGTTGCAAGTTTAAAAGGATAGGTTGCCTGTGGGAGGGTCCATTTCACAAGCTCAGGGATCATGAGGATAAGTGTGATCACCCCAACATGACTGGACTGCAGCTGATGGAGTCACTAGAAGTCATAGATAGGAATCATAAAGATGAGCAGGATCTCTTCCAAAACATTCTCAACTTGCTGTCCTTTGAAAAGATTGCTATAAATGGTTAATATTATTGCTCCTTTGATATTGTTGTAGGGATTTTTAAGATTTGTTCTCAATGTTTGCTTTGTGACAATATTATGTACAAGCAGTTCTTTGTTAACAACTCTTTGTTTCCATTATTAGGTATGTTAGTTTCTTTTCTTCTTCTTTGATTAATCAACCTGTTAGTTGCAGTTGATCAAGCTCTAATCATAGTGACTATAATCATAAATGCGATGCATTGGTTTGTGTGTTTGCTTTTTTAAATTTAGTCATATTCTTTACTGATTGTGTTGACTGTTGGCCATTTTTCAGGCTCGGTTTGTATCAATCCATGGTGAGACCAACATTTTTCACAGTACTTAATTAACACTGTGACCCCTGGAACATACTAAGAGAGTTATTGTTGAGACAAACAACTTCATTTGCACAGCACTTTGTTTTAAGCACTGCATGCATTCCTACTAACCAATACAGGTTAACCATCTTCCTAACATCTGTAGACTTACAGCTCAAGCCATACCGTTCAGATGACTTTATCCCACAACTCTGTTATGAAAGCAGTAGATTCAATGCTCTGGGTCAACAGTGGGTGGTGAAAGCAACTGTGGTTGGAAATGAGAAAAGTGTACAGAGGGTCTTGACCTATCAACTTGTACAGAAAGGCAAAGTCAACCTCAATGTGAAATTCCTAATGTTACGAAGCCCATTCAGTGACTTGCTTATCAAACCTGAAGTTCATCAACAAGAATTCACGAGTGATTTGCAGGAAAGCAGTCATCATGATCTTGTACTTTTGGACCCAATGGAATGCAACAGAATGCTGGATGCAAATACAATAAAGTTGAGAATGATTATCTTTCAAATCCCAAGCTCAGAAAATGAGAAATAATTTTGCTAAGAAGATGCAGTGAACATAGATTAGTTTAACATCTGTATCTTAATTTATCAACGTACTGTAACCAGTATTTGTGTGATGCTCATGTTAATTTGGTATTTATCTTTAAGTATAATTTGCATCTCTTCAGACTTATGTGTACCATCATGATTCTGTTGAGTAGTATATTATTTTCCCACAGATATAAAAGAGAGCTCTTGAAAATCACTCTAATTATTAAGAAAACATGGTCTTCTTACAAGAAACAAATTTGAGCAAAAATGAATTGTACTTCAAGGCAATATTTGTTCACTATTTAAGCAGCCGGTTTGCTTGAGTTAAACGTCAGTACTGTTAACCAGTTGTCTATCTCTTATTGGCAGCAAAGGTTAGTTGGAAAGAATAGTATCTTTTTGCTGCCAATCCTTTTTCTATTATCATCTCTCTACAGGCTACTACCGTGATCAGACAAATTAATTTATGACTTTTGAGGTAAATATACTTTTAAAAGTGAAAGACAGCAAAATATATTTTCAGATTTCATCTTAACTGTTACTCTGGTTGGGTTCGGTAAACCAGTGTCCATAATGTTGTTAAATGGTACAATTTAATATTTAGACCAAATGATAGAGACCTGTATTGTGAATACCCAAACTGTATGTAAATAGTGGTAACCATAACTTAGAAAACTACAGGACTGGGCCGGAAAAAAATTCAACAAAGATTAACAGAAGTCATTAATAGCAGCAAGTGAGTTTTGGCATAAAATAAAGTGTATTTACATGCAAGCAATGAAAGGTCACATGGAATGTTTATTTATTTGAAGGTTTACCTGTTGCATCTACATTTTTGATTCTATGTTACTTAAGTTTCTACTTTAAGTTGACACTGGTCAAAATACCCTGTGCATTCCTTTGAGTTTCTCAGAAAACAAACCTTTATCTACAAGCAAAAGTTTGCCTTGTTTTTTTGGATAATTTTGTTGCCCTGCAAGGTGCAGTGTGCATGTCATTTTAAGGCAATAGTGTGGAGATATTTTGCATTTTCTATTTGTGAAACATTTCCCTTGTGCAACTTGATTTGGTTTAGTTTACCTCCTTACTGCTCTCCAATCAGTGTTTTCTGGTATCCATACTCTATGCCATGAAACTGCAATATACATGCCAACATGGACAAGACTGCCCATGTGCTGCAATCACTGTTTTAAAATATTTTTGAAGTGAAATTCAGTCAGATGGTTCAATTACTTGTGCTCAGCATTTTTTGGAGAACTGAAGAAAACAAAAAATTGTTTTCGTTTTCTTCAGTTCTCCATGTACCAAAACAGTGAAAGTTACCTCGCACTAGTGTGACCCAACTTATTTGACTAAAACGTTTTTGTTTGTAATCGTGGTGTCTTTTCCTAAAGGAGTTATAAACTTATCTCAAGTGCAATCCATGCCCAAGTGAGTGTGTTGTGAGGTAAACTCAACAAATTATACTGCTGATAGATTTGTAGAGACTTGAATTGGGCTTAGTTTTGTGTCTGATGCTCAGTGACCTCTTCCTTACTTTCTTTAATTATTTCTTTTATTCAATAATTACTGAAGATGAGAACTTTAACAGCTACATGATGTTACATCAATTGGATTGATTTGTTACAGGATTGCTGGGGTGTCTGACATCCATAGATTTTCCTGTGGTCATTCAAATTAAAAAAAGAAACGCAGTCAGGGTAGTCAATGAAATGTCATAAACCAGAGTAAGAGTTTACTTTGAGTTAATTTTATTTTTGTTAATGAATTCACAATCACTAGGTTAAAAAAGCAATTAAGTGTACCATGTCTTAATTCTCCAGCATTAAATACACTCTGATCCACCAAAAGAAACAGTTTTAAGACTTTGTTTAGAGAAGAATTTTAAAGTACTGATCTCGGAGGAATAACACAGATGGGAGCCACTGAGCTTGTTTCATATATTAATGTTGCTAACATGTAAGAGGCTCCCTAATTAATTCATACTGACAACTGGTTCCAGCTGATTAGGAGTAGTCCCTCTCATCTTAGACTGTTTTATCAGCAAACAGACTTTGGTGCTGTACAAAACATGTCAGTTGTGAGAATAGGACATCACTGGTTGCCATTATTGGTTGCTCTGTTGTTCTCTTGAACTGGAAATGACAAAACCTGTCTCCTCTCACCCTTGAAGCTTCATTGGCACAGGCTCAAATGCCTCGGCTTTGTTGCCCAAGTTTTTTTTTTTTTTTGTTCTTGTATTTTTTTTTTCAAATCATGGTTCTATTTGATAAAACCATACATCAAAAGGAGATTTCCACCAGCCAATATGTAATGAAACCAGTCAACACCAGGTAAACCAAGAAAACTGAGGGACTCAACTGCACTTGCTAATCCATAAGCAAGACCTCCAACAGTTGCATAGAAGTTTGAACTCATGAATGTGACAAAAATTATTCCCAACACTGCTAGGGTACTAACTATCTTGGTCAACATCTCTTCCATTGGATTGTGGACTGAGGAGATGACAAGAGCAATGACAGAACTCACCAGATGGCACTTAGCATTAGCAGGTTTGTGGTGATGAAAACAAAATCCTGCTCCAATAAGAGGAATACCTATAAAGCAGGAAACAAAGTTGCATTACAATTTGTTTCTTCAGATTTTAAAGTTTAAAAGAATAGTCTGCAAGCTCAAGTTGAGAAATTCCCCATGAAAAGCATTTTGTGTTTTGCAATATTATGTTGGTTAGGATGCTTGATAAAACTACTAGGTTGTTTCTGTTTATGTCACTAATGTAAACTCTGAGCAACATCAGCAGGGAAAAATAATTGTGAAAAATGGACGTTACTTTATCCAACATGAGGGGGCTGAAAGGTTTAGTCAGTGTTTTTTCAACTTATTTTCTTACATGCTTGTAACCCTTGCTTGCAGTACAATCAGGAAGAGATTAAAGTGATGTGGATCCTAGCCTGTTTCAGACTATCTGCTTGTGCAGATGAGCAATGCAGTGGGAAGTGCTTGTCCCTACCGACCGAAACCCTGTCAGAAGGGATGTGCACCAGGATTTGATCAAAAGAACTTTCACATCAAAATCAGTAACCAAAAGGCATTTGATACTTTTTTTACATAAGCCTCCGAACTAAACTTCTCGTGGGAAAGTGCAGAGGGTTACTCTTAAAATTATTGAGTTTTGTAACTCATTACAACTTGTGGAAGAAATCCTACCTAAAACTGCTGCAATCCATGTTAAAAGTTTATGCAATTGAATAACTTTTGACTGAATGTTCGGGAAGACAACCCCAAACCTTAGAACTCCGAGAGAGGCAGCTATTGCAACACAAACCATACCCAATGCCGCAGAACCAGACACCTCGCGGACATTCAACGCTGCATACAGTGAACAACCTGCCAGAACAAAGTCTGAAAAAGCTGTTGATGTAGCTCTTGTACTCATTATCTGCTAAAGGATCTCTGAAACGGTAGAGGATCACGAAAGGCACGCTCCTTCAGAGGAATGTTTCTGCCACTCGTCTGCGATACACAACAAAGATGGTAAAAAACATCGACGTGTGCAATAAGGTACTGATCAAATTTAGCGATAGTAAGTTAGTACATCACGGGCGACAAGTTGGAAAGAAAAATCGTCTGAGATGTGAGCGGTCAGCGGTGAAACACCATGTATAATACTTCATTTTGACTCACGAATAGACAATCACATCCGAGGGGAACTTCTGAATTTTCTGACCTTGGCCTATTTACCAGTCACGAGTTGTCCTGTAATGCCCATGTTGACAAAATAACTGGTAAAGCAAACAAGATTCTTGGTCTTGTCAAAAGGACATGCAGGGGTATGAAGGATATCACTGCCCAAATATATTACTGTACTGTTGTATGGTCGTCTCAAACAGCTAAGTACATCACCAATTGGGAAAAATTCAGAGGAGAGCCATATTTTGAAGTCAGATGATGACCACGGCATGCGACATATTACCCAAAGCTTTGACTGTAACTATATATATTAACCAACGGAGGCATCAGGAAAGGCATCGATGATACCGATAAAGGGATGAACCTACACTCAAGAAGAACTATGCTAGAACTACTACTTTTAAAAACAGTCTTTTTAATAGGACTGTGGATATGTAGAATAAATTACCATTATCAATACGTCAGGCATCTAACATTTCCAGTTTTAGGAAGGGTGCAAGGGAAATCTTGCTACCAAGATATGACTAAATTTTTAATTCTTTGTTCAGTTCAAAATGACTAAAATGAAACACGCATGATTTTTCCAACAGCATTTGCTACAATTTCCCACAATTATAATTCGTTGTTCATACAGCTTTGACTGTAACAATATATTAACCAACGGAGGCATCAGGAAAGGCATCGGTGACACTGGGAAAGGCATCAAGAGGAACGATATTTACGTTTTGTAACTTGTTTTATGACTGAAAATATATTTGTTTTTTCAGAAAAGTGAAAAGCTAAGCAACTCCAGTTGGGATTAGTAGAGTGGCTTTCATATTTTTTATGGTCTTTTGAAAGTCGCTTGAAATGTGAAATGTAGTGATGCCTAGGATTTACTTCTATATTCTTGACAGGGATTTGCATGTGTCAGAATTTGTAAACAGCCTGCACAAAAATTAACTTTTTCTTTCCCTCTTCTGTTTATATATGTTTATGCCCAAGTCTGCCCAACCCTCCTGTGAATGTGAAACTTTTCTTGATGTCCTTTGACTTATCACTCAATCCTTGGTCGTAAAATTATGTGACAAATGAAGACTGACAACAGTCATGAAAACTCAGAGTTGATGTTACCACCTGTGAAAGGAGTGCAAATGAACTATCAATCATTAAATTTTGAGCCTTTAAATTATAAGAATTTATGTCAAATTATGAATAGAAAACACCAATGGAAATACTGAGGTTACCAGTAAAATCAGGTTGTATTTTTATCACAGTTATCCTCTTTCGAAAGGAGTTGTTGTATACTATGTTACTTAAATTAATTTCACTCTGTTTTATTATCTAGCTCGAAAGTATCATTCCAGGTTCCTTCTCTACAATAGTTGTGGGCAGAGGAAAGGAGACATTTAGAGACAAGCACCAGCAACAGCTGCAAGGGAGATTAATTGCACTAAAGCTCCAATGAACAGTTGAATGATTGATGATATGAGCAAGTAGATTAATTATCCTAAAGCTATGTGAAAAGTAATTCTGTGTTGGGATGAGACTAATTTTTTGTCAAAGGCCTGGCACTGGGAGTTTTTGTTTCTTCATTTACTCTTGCAAAGCAACAGCGACTGGGGTTAAACTCTCAGTGCAAGTATCCTTAATTTTGGAGATATCTCATAGGCACTTGTTCTGTACATAAATGCATGTGTATAGCAAGTGTGCATTAATATGGATGACCGTTTTAATTGTGAATCACAATTAGCTGCTATCGTTGAGTTATATACTTGTTGAAATCACAAAACACAAGTCAACATTGACATGGATGGTAGGGAAGTCATTCTTCAAACTTATTAGGTTTTCATAATCAAACTGTTTTCAGGAACATCTCACCTTGACATAGAAGTTTCTCTCATTTCTTCTCATTTCACTTCATCATTGGTGCTTGATAAAATAGTAATTAGTACTAATACTGGAGGGTTGCTTATTTCTCTTATCAAAATATATGAAACATCCAATAGTGAGTGGATTAAGAAGGAATCTCATGCTAAAACAGAGAAACCAACCTCTAAAGATTTTGTACTAGGTTTTCTCCTCCTGCCAGACTCAACAACTGAACTTCTTTATTGAAAATTAATTGTTCATTAACTGTAATACAAGGTATAAATTGGTAACTTTTTTTACTGTTCTTTTATGCTTGTAACCTGAATTACAAAAATTTTGCCAAAAAAATATCTGCAAATAAATATCTAGATCAGGTTTCCCTGGATTCCAAATCTCTTACACCAAAAATTACATTCCGGCACATGCAGCAGTTCTGTACATTCCCCAAAAGGAAATCCTGCCATCACACATTTAGCTTGGGATAGATCTCGAAGGTCTCTCAGAATAGCCTTAGAAACACCATCCTCAAAGCAGGGCTTATTTTTCACTCAATTATATCAGTTCTTAAAAACACACATTACTTTCAAAAATGGCTCTGGATTTAAGGAGCATCACAACCTCCGAACTGACTTCAACATTTGGGTAGTTTTACACCATTATCTTTGGTGTGTCTCAAGAGTACACTTTCTCCATTGTAAGCCTTATCTAATCATTTTAGTGCCCTTGACAAGAGGAGGTCTTGGGGTTTAGCCATTAACACCACAACAGACAAAACATTCCTTTGCAAGTTTAATGACAACCTGAGTGATCTAACCATTTCCTAAATTTCAAATTACAATCAATAAAGGCCAGTGAGCTTCTATTTGTTTTTGTTGAGAATGAGAGAAGTCTACAAACACAACAAGTGCACACTCAAGTGCTCCTTTGGCACAGTTTTATGCAATAGCCATAAAACTAAGAAACGTACTTTAACCATGCACTAGACATCTAGTCTTACAGTTAACAATGGCTATGTATTCACTTCGTAAACTGGGTAAGAATAATTTCCAACACAAGCAATTCTTGACTTTATACTGCTATGTCCAATGCGTAGATAAATGTAAATTAAAAAATCAAGTTTGCTATATCGTATATAAAATATATCATAGTTAAAAATGAATAGTACTGGTAAGTTCTCGCAGAAATATCGAGCGTATCATCCAGGGAGATTGATTTACACACTAATAATTTTAATTCTCAGCCTCCAATTTCTCAGAAAATAAATTCAATGCAAACGAAATTTGTAGCAATCAGTTCAGTTAAAAGTAGAAAGGAATCTTCCAGACAAAAATTTCACTGTAAATCGAAAAATAGCTAATCTGAATATTTAAGTTAATCGCTTAGTCAATGTCAATCACCTAAGAAGGACTTCACATCTTTGAATCCGCGCTCTCTGGCTAGATGGATCATGATACCAGTGCATCTTCGACCTCGTTTCTTCATACAAAAGCTACAGTTGCAAATTCCGCGACACGGAGGGCACTGCCACTTAAGATCCATCAGGGCTTTCTTAGCGTCTTCCCCGTACCGATTCTTGAGGCAAGGTCCGCAGAATTGCCCGCGTATTCCAATACAACTCAAGCTACGACATACTGTCTTTAAATCGTCCGTTTTTTGACGGCACTGATGACACGAGGTTCCATTCGTCTGATCATAATTTTTGTCACACACACGTTCTGCCACCAGAATTAAATCGTCTTCGGTAATTTCGACAGGAAGCATGGGTGGTCGTTTTGGAGCCGGTCGCTTTCGCTTCGGTGAATTGTCTGAATCCTCGCTTCCAGATGAACTTGGCAACTTGGACTTGCGCGAAGGCCACAACTTAATTTTAAGAGTGTTTGGAGAGCGAACATCTTCTTCCTCAATGTCTTCTTCGTCGTCACCTTTCTCTGAGTCATATTTTCCGACGAAGGATCTACACTGACGTTTAGGAAGTCGTCTTCTGGGTAATGGAACTTTGGATTGTCTACGCTCCACATTGTTCTTCTTGATCGAAGGCTGCGAAGGAGTTAGTGGTGGCGGGTACAAAGATCGAACTCCTTCAGGAAAAAGGCTGGCGAACATCTCCTGGTTTGTTGCAATTGCAATATTTCGTTTCTTTTCATAGTCACTTTCCTCGAAGAAAGACATATTGCCACCACGAATTGAAGTAAAATATAAGAGAAGCTGGGCAGAATGTCTACACACAATGTTCAGTGAGGCTGAGCTTTTGGCATGATAACACGACTATTGGAAATGGCGCGAAAACGATCATGTGATAAGTCACGTGACGTAATGGTCCCCTTAAATTCGGAGAGGGACGGATTCGGAGACAGATCACGACTCATACAAAGAAGGAACCATTTCTTGCGTTTTATTTTCTCGCTCTTTATCTGATTTGTGCTATAAAAATTCAAAAAATGGGTCTTCTTCCTTAAACACAAAGGCTGTAACGTCTCAATCATTTGGCTCCGCTCTCAGAAAGTATAGAGAAACCTTCCACGAGCCCCCTTAAGCTATAGATTCAGCTAAGTCATAGTACCAGTGTAATAAGTTTAAACGATAACGAACAAATCTTACCACTTCTCTTCGACACTGATCGTGCAAAAAGGCGAAGGGAGGCCTATGACGGTTTGCTAGAATGAAATTATGTTACAAATTAGAAATATGCCGGGTCGAAAACAAATTTTCAAAGTGCAATGTGCTCGTGTAGTATGTGCTAAAAAATGGCTTATCGATACATTACTATGGGTCGTGTAACACTCAATAACGTGAACTGAACGCAGTGTTAAACTCAACAGTTTCCTTAATAATTATGAGATTTATAGTAAAACTTCTTGGTACGTCCCCTTGTTTTGATAATTTTGGGGTTTCAGTGCCCGCGTCCATCTAATAGAGGTAACCGTTGAATACAAAATTGTTTTACAGAACATAGGAAGAAATAAATCGGAACACAGCTGGTCTCTGCTTTTCACAGGGTGTAATCTTACCATAACTCTTAATTTAAACTAACTTAATTAATGCAGGTTTCACTGAAGGGCGAGAATTTCCAAAATTTTTAACTTACTAAAAATGTCTTTTCCTAAACAAATATCGCAAACTCCGTCGAAACCAGAGCGCGAGGATAAAAAGAACGATTACAGTCAAAAAGAAACATGCAAATAAATATGGCGTGTCTCTTGTCTTCCGAAGAGTCTGGATCAAACCTGAAACAAAGATTAAGTGACATGTATGAGAATAATAAGCCCAACAGTTTCGCCTTCCTTACTCTTAAATATTCACGAACACATTTCCTTAAAAAATCTCAAACAAGGGTCGGCATTGATTTGCAAGCGAAATATTTGGTAAGTCATTGTCACTTTTTTTCTTATCGTACATATCTCAAAAGTAAAGGTTTACCAGTCTTTGTGTTTCCTTGTAGCTGATGACTATACGGATGAGTCTTGCTGTCATAATTCTATGTTTTGATACTGGTCGAAAGCAAACAAGTTCATTATCTTTATGTTTAGGCACTTTACTCCACTATCATTATTCTACGCTCCAGTAGAGAAAGTCTCCATTGAAACTAAAAATATGTCAGGGAGTGGTTCACTGAAATTCAATCATTCCCCTAAATTTTTTACCTGATTTCTTGGGATCTACGACTGTTGTACCAACTGCAGTGATACTCCTCACCATGTGATTATACTGAAAAAGAACGAAAACTGACAAATTCCACGAAAAATTCTGTAAAGTTCAATCATGCTACTAAAAAATTAAATCTACAGGCAACATTTTCAAGAGAACGCTCTAAGAATGAGGTTGATCAACAAGCCCATTCGTTAAGTTCTCGGAATATCAAACAGTGAATTTGATTTTTCGAATGTCGACGTTTTGGTTCGCAACTGAAGTAGTAGGAAGTCCTTTCCAAATTTAACCCTCACCCTATGCCCTCTGAGCACAAAATTCTATCTTGTTGACTATTTTAACCAACGTGATGAGCCCAGCAATCGCCTTCCAACTCGCAATTTTCTTGAGACACGCAGTATATGAATAGCTCACCTGGTCTGTAACGTATATAACTTTTCTTTTATTGTCAAACGTTAACCCAGTGGGATGAAAAAATCTCGCTTCCTTGCCGACTCCGTCTCTGAAGCCTTCAGTCCCGCCGGCCAGCGTCCTTACTTCACCTGTTGTTGAAAAGACAAACTTTACTAAAGATGATCTGAAAACTTAAATCGATTTGCGCACTGAAACAGTGTATTACGCTGTCATAACATACTATTTAAAGGCCTGCTAAAAAAATTTTCTGTTTAAAATATTCGTAAACATATAAAGAACGAAAAAAATTTTGTACTTTCGCCAAATGTAAATAGCAACTGATGAAGATACAACCTTTACAACAGTTAATTCCACCAGCTACATAAAATATTGAGATAACAGAAAATGGTCTTGTTTGCTCCAGAATCTGCAGAGCACAAACAAGTATTTCTTTATAAAACTAATAAATGAAAGCTACCAAAAAATATTGCATTCAGTTATTCGTATCTTTTGACCACACATGTGTTGCACACAGAGGTATGTAATTTAGAAGAACTAACATCGCTTACCTGCAGGGGTAACAATCCTTATGGCATGGCTGTCCTAAAATGAATTTATGGGAAGGCTTGTCAGTTAAAAGGCAAAAAACTTTAGAATTAATGCTAACTTCGTTCGTTCAAGTATCAAGTCAAATCCAGACGCCTCTAAGAAACCAATTCTTTCCATCCTTTCTTCTTTTCCTCGATACGCTTATTTATCCACAGCTGTAAGTTTAGCAAAAAGCTAGCTAACGCTGGAAAACATTATTGTGTTGTCGTCTTGTTAACTCTTACATTACCTCTCTCCACTGAATACGAATGTAAATGAATGTTATGAACCACGTAATACACTGAGGGTGGAGGGGTATTAGCCTGCAGTGGAGAAGCATCCCACCCAGGAGGGTGGGGGGAGTATCATTTCTCCTTATCATAACATACTTCAGAAACTGGGATAAACTGCAGACGCTTTGTGAGTTAATCTAGTAGGCAGACTTAATTTATTTTTTCCTGTGTCCGTGAGCTCAAATTAATTATCCTTTTATTGATTATTTACATAAGGGTTTCTTTATTGATACTTACAAACTCTGCAACATAGAGTAAATTAGAATCGGTGTCAAAGTACAACCCCTCAGGATAATTGAACCTCGCTTCTTTTCCAAAACCATCCTTAAATCCTTCTCTTCCCCCACCCGCCAGTGAAGCGACTTCACCTAACATGGGAATATTGATCCACAGTTTATAAGCGGAACAAAACAATACAGAGTTATCTGAGTATAACGAGAAGCGTTGATGAAAATTTTGAATGATGCACTTTAGATGGCAATACCAGTTACTCGCAACGCAAAGCAGAGCACCATCGAACACGAAGATTGACAATTATAAACAAACACAAACAGACGTAAGAGAACTGCAGAAAACGGACACCAACGTGAGCTAAAGTATACTGAGGATGCAGATGAATGATTAATAAAGAAAAAAAAGCCCAAACAACGACATACGGGCCTGTACTACCCGGTAAACATATTTTCAAAGATATTTTATCTTACACAAGGACATATCTAGTAACAATATGAGTGAAGAAACACATCTATTTTTAGTCCACTAGAAAATTGTCTTTCTCCATATAGAGGGTATATTTGACGAGTACAATAAATCAGAATATATCATCTTACCACTATTTATGTCCACTGTTCGTATCATATGGTTATACTGTAAACAACAAGACAAGGAAAGTAAAAAGTACTTTTAAAAAAACATCAATCAGCGAGCTGAGTAAGTTGGGAGGCAACGAAGACTACCACTTCCCGCTTCCTCGCTGCTTACTTAGTTTGTATCGTTTACAAGCCAGTCACTCGGTTACTATACACACAAAGCTATTCAATCAAACTCTTTTCAAGAATTTTAGACAAAGGCATAATTCTTTTTTTTTTTTTTCACGATTATTTGAACCTCCGGATTTTAAGGGTGGAATCTCTACCTTCAGATTTTACGGGTGGAATCTTTACCTTCAGATTTTATAGGTGGAATCTTTACCTTCAGATTTTATGGGTGGAATCTCTATCCTCAGATTTTATGGGTGGAAGCTCTACCTTCAGATTTTATGGGTGGAAGCTCTACTTTCAGATTTTACGGGTGGACACTCTACCTTTGGATTTTATGGGTGGAAACTCTACCTTCAGATTTTATGGGTGGACGCTCCACCGTCAGATTTTATGGGTGGAGTCTCTACCTTCAGATTTTATGGGTGGAATCTCTACCTTCAGATTTTATGGGTGGACGCTCCACCGTCAGATTTTATGGGTGGAATCTCTACCTTTGGATTTTATGGGTTAAATCTTTACCTTCAGATTTTATGGGTGGAATCTCTGCCTTCAGATTTTATGGGTTAAATCTTTACCTTCAGATTTTATGGGTGGAATCTCTACCTTCAGATTTTATGGGTCAAATCTTTACTTTCAGATTTTATGGGTGGAAGTTCTACCATTGTAACACAGAGAACTCCCTGACGCATGAGATAAGCCCAGCAATGGGAGGCTGTATACAGGGTTCATAATTGGCGAGCGTCCTACAAACTGATGAGATCAGCTACATATTTATTTCTTACGTGATCAGCCACGTATAGTGTTCCAGTATACACATCAAGTGAGATGCCGGTTGGGTGATAAAATTTTGCATCTTTTCCGATGCCGTCCATTAATCCTTGACTACCACCTGCTATTGTTGTAACTTCTCCTGTTTAAATGAAAGAGGCTTGAGTGAGCTTAAATTAGGTTTCAAGCAGCCATAAATATCATGAACACACAGGCAGGCACACTGTACGAGTATTAAATAATTAACAGCGCCCCCTTTTTTTTACCAACGACTCCACTCTAATCATCTAATCGACGCGTTAAAGGCAAGCCCCCTCCCAAAAAAGAAACCAACCGACACACAATAAATACATAAAATAAAAAGCGAGAAAGGTTTTTTTAAAGGTTAATGTTCTTTTAATTAAAACACGTACCTCTGGAGGTCCCTATATCTCTATTAACTTACCGTTTGGTAATGAGATAATCCGTATTGCGTGATTATCCTGGCCGGTAAAAAAACATTACTATACATAAAAAGAGAATTCAGCAAAACATGAAACAAGGCTGAAAGATACCTGCATATGACGTTGAAGTATTTAAAATATGATGAAATCGCTCTGTTTGTCTTTTATTTCCTATGAGATAATATTTATCCACTGGTTCATTATCCGCTAGTTATTTATAAAGCAACCAAGAAACCTCCTATAAAATGGAATCAGCAACGCCAGGCTTCTTAGAGTTAGTTCTCTCGCGATGAAATACAACTTGTATATTGTTCTAAATCATACCCTACTTCTATTCGTGGGGAAAAAAGGAAGATACATGAAAAATAAAAGACTGAAATGTCTCAAAATTATTTGGATGAAAGTGGATTATCAGCAGTTAATAATGTCACGATTCAAATAATTCGATAGTGTGATAAACTGAACGAAAACCTTCAGAGGAGAGGAGGGAAACTCAGAAATAATAAACCTTGTTTGACGTCTAGTGGAGTCTAACATGTGTAGTAACTGACCGTATCACTAAGGAACAGCCTCCTTTTCATGCTGTCTAATTCCAGTTGTTGAGGATTGGACATCATAGCTTTGAGTCCTACGTCATCAAGGAATCCAGACTCCCCACTACCAGCAAATGTAATTACGTTAGCTGAAATAAAGAACTCAAGACTTAATCTAAGTCCCTTAATCTTAGAACGCGCAATGGTGAAAAGAACAAGCAAAAGAACTTTTGCAGGAGGACCACAGAAGTTTTAAAGCTGACCGATAGATGTTATCACGTTGTCAGCACATGGCTCAATTTAATTCTCTTCACCTCCGTTTTGAGTTATTTAAAAATTAACACTTTATTGGCGAATCAAGGGGGAATGTTGCTCGCACAAATCAAATCGCCACATTCGGGTATGTATCTCGCACCGATAAGATCACAGCAGTGGGGTGTACTTGCACCAATCAGTGTCATGCCTGTGTAAGTAGACAGAACGCGTCACGTGCGCACACTGTTGTTTCTCATTTCGCCGAGTCAACCGTTGTTTTTTTTAGGAAAACGTACAAACGATTTTGTTAACCACTCGTATGATTACAGACCGGATTGGACTCCAATTACCATTATCAATTCTCACGTGCTCAGACGTGTTCTACCGATCAAATTCGCTTTTAGCTACCTTAGACTTCACCCTATCACGCGTCAATTCCTTGTGAACAACCTTCATTTCATAACGTATTACGCATGCAAAGGGCAAAGTCCAAAAGGCGACAACCAATAAGGAGCCCACATTGTTACGCTTTGAAATTTGATACTTTTCTCTTCGTTCAATATATTTTCACTGGTTCGAAGAACAGAGACCGTAAATAATTTGGTTAATGGCTACTGGAGATAAACAGAGTTTCGGTTTGCTTTCCAGTGCAGAATTATAGAGAGAATATTTTTGAGGCAATTAGCTGCAACTAAATAATTCAAATTTTGTCTCTGACGAGACAACGACATCAAGCATTGTCTTAGCCTGCGAGGAGGCCAATGTTAGGTCTCGTCACGCAACGGGGAAGAGAGCGTGTAAATAAATTACATGTTTGATTCAGATACCCGCCTAGCAGTGGTCGAAAATTAAACGCGTTTACATGCAATCTTACAACTACGGGGTGCTGGGGTGAGGTTTCTTGAGGTTGTTGTTGCGCTTGCAATTAGAGAGTTTGAGCACAGACGTCCCAAGCTCGCATCTCGAGAAAGACGAAAGGTTTATTCTTGGACATGTATGTATTTATTCATGAAAGCGTCACGCGTTGTGTTACGCGGTGTTAGGTTACGCGAGGAATCGTACACTTAATACGTTATAAGAAATAGTTGGGGAAATATACACAAAATATGATCGATTTACAACGCCAAATATTCCGAAATGTTCACATTTCGGATTATTTAGCGTTGTAAATCGACCATGCGACCAAGTGCAACAACAACCTCAAGAAACCTCACCCCAGCACCCCGGGGTTGTAAGATTGCATGTAAACGCGTTTTATTTTTCGACCACGGCTAGGCTGGTTACCTCACCTACCTGGGGTCCCCCACCTCCATGTAAACAGGCCCTTAAACTGGTCCATCCAAAAAAAAACAAACTCTTGCATACGTAGCATGCCTATGTGTTATACTTGCTACAAAAACCCATTGTCTCTTTGTTTTCCGTTGACTTTTAAAAGCGTAGAAAGTAAGGACCGGTTATTTACATCTAACCCAAACGACGGTTTTACGTCTCGGGGATTCTCTATAAGAGGGTTGACACTGATCATTAAAATAAATATTCAGATAAAAATTTCGGCTAAATTGAAGATGGCTCAGAGCATGGTTTTGTCAAGCAACGGCTAAACTTTGTTTGAATAACTAGCCCTGAGATTTTGTCCATCCCAACTGGACCACAAAGGAAGGTTTAATAAGTGGCAAGAAAGTAGCCTCAGAAAGCTCACCTGTGTTAATATCAACTTTTCTTATTCGGTCGTTTCCCTGTACAATAACGAAAGAAACGACAACTTTAGACAACGAAATGGGTCAAAATACGAGAGTTCCAGACACGAAACATTTTCAACAACATTCAAGAATGACTTGTCTATTTTTGAACGCTGGGAAAGAAAGCCAACTAGGATACGTGTTTATTTTTAAATCTCGTTTACGTTTTTTCGTTGACCGCCCACCGCTTTTTGTGATTCCATTGCCGACATTGTCCAAAACTTATGGACTTTGTAAGTCCATTCCATTTAATTATTTTCCTTGCGCGGGATCAAATTTTATCTGCTCACGTGCGCTAACAGCCATTTAATAAATATGTTATTTTCTAGGCGGGAGTTCTGTATGGGTTCATCTATTTTTTTTATTTCAAGGTTGTACGGCGTCATTACACAATTATCCCAAGCGATTTCTTATTCACCAGGCCCAAAGTTTAAGTTTTCATGGCACATCGTGAGGAGGTGTTTTTAAGTCTTATGTAGCATTGTTTGAGGGTGTGGAAAGAGATTGGACGCTAAACTCACGCTATCGGCAACATATAAAACTCTCTCGACTTTATCCATAACTATACCTGCAAGAGGAGAAAGCAATTTCGAACTCAATAATTACTCAATGGTTTCTCTGTATGAACATCGCGCACGAAACAACTCTCTATCCGAAAACAACAAATTTCCCTTTTGAGATCATTGTGGTTCTGAACTTTTCGTGAACGAAAAGAGGTCGAGGTCGAGGTCGAGGTCGAGGTCGAGGTCGAACACAACCACGTCTGGCTCCTTCTCTGATGTGAATATAAACTCGGTTTACTGTTTTCTGATACTTAACAAGTTATGCTTAAAACTGTTTACGGGTGTTCTGTGGATGCTTAGACTCAAAAAAAGGTGTTGGCTCAAATTTAGGGATACTACACTGACCTTAAGTTAACGTCAAACTTCTGTGTGAGCACGTGACCATTTAATCTTAACCTACGTGAGCATAATTTAAGCAAACTCTCTAGCTGTTAACATGAAGATTATTTTTTTAACAATCTCATATTTGGGTATAATAACCAATCCTTCATCTCCACTTTAACTACCTCATCTAGCTGCTTTGTTTACATTACCTGACACGTGACGGAACTTAGCATTTTCACCGATCCCATCCTTGTATCCCTGAGCACTGCCGGCTAATGTCGTTACTCGGCCTGAAAAGATTAAAACTCTCCGATAAAAATAAAACTTAACAAAAGCTAGAAATCTTCAAGAATCCTCAGGTAATGTTGTACTAATCTCCGCAGTAGAGAGAGATCCTGAAGTCTGACATTCGATTTTTAGTCCTAGTTGAAGTTCGGGTCCGAATGTTGAGGAAGACAATGCTTACCAGTCGTGACATTGATTTTCCTTAAACGATCATTGCTGTGGACCGTTTCGGGGCAGCCCTGTTAATAAGAGGAAGATTTAAAATATTTGCATGAGAGGGAAGCTACAAATTTACGCATAATTTTAGTTTAATTTGTCGTTGTACTTTTGTCCTCCAACACCCTTGATTGCAGCGAGAGAAATATTCTCGTTGAATGGAGTTTAGACATAATATTTTTGTGCCGCGCGAAAAGACTACTGTTTGGAATAAAATCGTAGTATTATGTTAATTTCAGTCATAAACTTAACTAAGCGTCATGCTCCTATATTCGTGCCAAGAAGTATTGATATGATCATTTAACACGCTTGGAAAAGGCTTTAATGCCTTTAAAAAACATGACTCACAATACATCTACTTACACAGTCACCCACATAAAGTACATTGTCTTCCGCGTCGAAAACGATACCCCAAGGGTAATTAAACCTGGCCCCTGTTCCTATTCCGTCCATGGTGGGAGTCTGATAATCCAAACAGTCTGCCGTACCCCCGTGATGGGCTCTCCCGCCCCCGGCCACCGTAATAACAACACCTGTGGTAGGGAGGACGGAAAAGGGTTGTGTAATCGAAAGCAATGCACGATTACAAAAATTAATGGTTCATAAAATCCAACGATCTTCAATGAATCTGATGTAACAATGAAGTCAGTGGGTATGTTTTGTGACGATAGTTTTTCGTGCACAACTGAACTCTCGCGGATGGCACAACAACAGTGGAGAAAAATGGCTCGGTAGAGACAACTCGGCAGCGGGAATGGAAACTCGTCACGATTTCCTGGTACACGGCGATCTACTTCAAACGAGCTTTTACGGACGTCAAGTATATGAAAGCGTTTTGGTTCCACAGTAGACTTTATTACTAGGTCAGGCCATCAAATGACAAGGCCCCTAGCGTACACAACCAATGTAATCAAGCGTACACAATCAATGTAATCGGCAGGCAGTCGTCTATGTAACCGAAAAAGCTTAACGAAGTCAGTAATTGTTTAAATATGAACTGGTGTGAGGTTCTATTGTTCTCTAAATCTACCATACATCCCGTAGTGGGAGACACACTACGAAAACGAAGATCCTTACTGAAATCTTGAATTCTGAACTTGGCACGTCTGTAACTCGTTACTGAATGTTTTAATAGTAGAGCCCCATGGAGCTTTCGATTTAATAGACATGACATGCATATGGAAGATGCGTTGCGTGACGCTTTAAGCGCTAGAAGTAAAGATAACTTTACATAAGATAACTGTCAAGGAGAATATACGGAATTCATATATTCCATCAACTAAAATAGGATAACTGTATTGGTTTGATTTTAATTGCGTTTCCTTAGCTCTTTTTTTTAAAGTAAAGCAAATATATTAAGCGAATCAAAGAATGCGATGACATTTTTTACCAGCAGCAAAACACACAGGACAAAGCTGGCATAATGTTAATGGTATTTAATGTTAAATACCTATGAGAAGCTTTAAAGTGCCGTCTTCAAATTTACGGTGCACGCGGTTTCTTCCACGTGGCGTGCGTGGCCCAAACAATGGCCCTAAAGCTTCCCGTTTTTGTAGGAAGGCAGCCCACTGATGGATCAGTTTGCAATGTGTCTTCGTTTTCATGATGGGTTTTCGTTTTCGTAGGGGGTCTTCGTTTTCGTAATGGGTCTTCGCTTTCGTAACTACCTCAAAAATTATGCATTTCGAGGAGATTCGGAGGCAACAGTGAGTATGTGTCAGTGGTGAACTATGGGTTGAAGTATGTTTCTAGAGGATTAATATTGTGTTGCCTAACGGAATCTTCTCAGTAAGAATTATAGCTTTGGACACGTTGTTCAATTAAGTAGTTGGATTTGTTGGAGTCTGCTGGTTAAATTATACCGTAATAAAGACCGTACGGCTGCCAAGCACATAACCACAGCCTCTACATTTGGGCCCGACGAGTAAATCCAGTTTAGTTGCTATAGAGCACTGTATTACATTATGCCGTTGCGTGACATAAACTGGCACCTCTAATGTAAGTCGATATCAAGTCGATTCAACTATGACTCAAAACCCAGCGTCTGAAAGAATAAAATATATGATCTCGTGTAGTAATCGTGTTATGCCTTGAACCACGTTTTGTTATCATCATCTCTTTGAAGGAGTCTCAGCAAATACTACCGTACCGACTCCATGGTTTCCAGGTTAGAGAGCTAATATTTCTTAAGCAAAGATTGTTAACAATAATAACCTGAGGGAACTGCGTAATAACAAAATCAGTCTAAGCGTTGCTTACCGAATAATTCAGACATCGCTCACGAAAGATCAGAACTTTAGAAATAATGAGCAATCCGGCTTGGCTATTGAGTTGTGTGAATTTTTTTTGTCTTGTTTGAGCAACAGATGTGAAATCACAATGATCAACAGCGCTATGAGGCTAAATACTTGCCTGAGTTATCCGCACACCATGATCTGTGGAGGAGAACTACGGTTAATATCAGTCGTCTAAAAATCGCCATCTTGTTGGTTTGAAGCTTTGCATAACGTAACGAAGCGTCACTTTAAATGCATACAAAGCAAAGCTGTTATTAATCCCTAGGGACCATGTACGTGTCATCACGTCAAAATGGTAATCTGGTTGAATGAAGAGAGGGGGTAATTTCTAAGGAAACTGTGGTGCTGCGTCGGTAGGAGAATATAACAGGGTAATTTCGTGTTATCAACTGACTTGAAATCATAAATTGGCCACCGTAAAGAGTTTAAAGGCTGTCGTTTCGAGCGTTTGCCCTTCGTCAGAGCGATTGGGTTTGTATGCAGAAAATGAAGCTACGCTATTGGTGGGAATACGGTGACTAGAAAACGAGAATAAATTAACGAATACAGAAGAGCGCTGCACCGGTAACGCAGAGGTCATCGGTTCAAATCCCGTACGAACCTGAATATTTTTAAGGCCTTTTTTCAACAACTAGTTTAGTAGTGTTCTTAACTGTGAGGATCGCTTCTATATTCGTTTCTTCAACGGCAGTGCACATATATCATTTTCATATATTTAAAGTCACGAATAAATTAGTGGAATGAAAAGCGCTCGTTGATACTGTGGGGATAAAGGGTGTCGATTTAGGAGAAAAATTTTTGCCGCAAAACTCTATCACAAAAATTGATCTTCCAAATCGGCGCTCTTAATCCCCACGGTATCGACGAGCGCTTTTCATTCAACCAATTTATTTTTGTTTTCCCGTCAAACTCCATTTTCTGCATATAAAGCCACACAAAACCCATCTGGTTGATTTTTCTCTTTAGCTGTGTTGTGCGAAGGTATTTCAGTTTGTTGATCTTGGAGGGCATATGAATGGTATGATAGGTTATCATGAACCGCTCTCCGAGAAATGAGCCTGCGCAAAGACACAGGACTAAATATCGACAACAGAAACAGAGATCGTTGTTTGCACATAAACATGTAGTATTTTAGAAATAAAGAATTCAAGGGTTGAACTAAATAGGATTATTATGAGGACAGGATTTCAGAATTTTTCGTTGGGTGAAACTCAACTAATTAGGACCCAGTCTTCAACTCGTCCTCTTTCAGAACAGAATGCAGTTAATGATTTGTTATTGCGTATAGAGGCAACGACAACGTATATGAGGGAAATCATTTCTCCGCGACAGGCCGCGTAAAAGACAACATTGCCTTGTTTCTGGTTCTTGATTGACGAGAAGAAGCCATTACAATCCAGAATCAGGTCTAAGGAGATTTCAGAATGGACGGGAGCAATAACATGGTATATTCCCAGTTGGTATGTAAAGCTATCACTCACTTTGGAGCTGAGCGGTCAAACTTAAATTATCAACATGCTGGGCTGAAATATGTTTTCGCAGTGATTTCTAGGATCTGTTTATTAGAATTAGAAGGTGTTAATGAACTGGAAGCGAGCACTTTTCGACCTAAAGTTTAGAATTAGTTGCTCTGAATTCCCGTATGTTGACCGGAATTAGTGGAGTGTTGTGAGCGTTTTGGTATTTAGTAGTCAAAATAGCGATAAGCAACAATTAAGCGTAAGTATTCTGGTTGTGACGTTGCATGCAGTAATGTGTTCGAGAAAGAGAACGCGCTCTTACATTTTGAAGTACATACCAACGCAGTTTGTCATTACATGTCGGGATTTTCAGTCACAGTGCGTGACAAACTCATCAAATGTCGCTGAAGTCATTCACTCAATAGGCCATTTTACAATTGTGTACTTAATTGCCAAGCCTTTGACTTGGAATTAGCAAGGTTTGTATCGTAACAAGGTCACCCATAGCCTCATTCCTGTTCAAAGGCTTGGCAACCAAGCACACAGCTGTAAACGGGAATGACAGGAAAAAAAACGTACCGAAAACATTCCACATTCGTGGTTAAACAATTACATGAATATTTAATTAGATTTTTGTCGATTTGGCGTGACTCGTGTTCTTCGAATAAAGCCGACCAATGCAGTATGCGCTCCATCTTACGTTAAGCTCACTGATTCGCCTGTCAGTGGAATGAAAGGTGTAAGTTGTGAATCACGTTTGAGGCATTGCGTTGCGGATGTAACGTATTTCTTCGAATAAGCACCTGGATGCTAATTTAAACTTTCGGCTTAAAGTGCCCATGACAGGAAATCTTTTTTTTGTGTAAATATTTAGATTATCATGTGTACAAACCAATTCCGATAGAAGAAAGATTTAAAAAAAATAATAAAACTCGTAAGTGCTCTTATATTGTCTTAAGAGTGTCCCACGGACTGGTAACGAATTAGCGGGTGATGACGTAGAAAACTGTGAAAACTCTCCGTTAGGGACTTGTCAGAAATTAGCAGGGGAGGAGGGGGGGTGGAAACAGAGGGGGGGGTCACAACTTATTGAGTCTCAGAAAAGAGAGGGGTCATGAAAAATGGGCAGTTAAAAGGGGGAGGGTCATGCAAATATATGCCCGTGATCATGTAGAGGTTCACCCACAGAAGAAAAAGGAAGTTCTTTATTTGGCAAAAAAAAGAGAAAAATACAACGGTTTACGGAACGTTATGGATATAAACTGTGAAGTACTATAGCAAGAAGGGGGAGGGTCATGATATTTTAGGCCAAGCTCAAGGGGAGGGTTAGCAAATTTCACTCCCATTGCAGGGATGGGTCACCTAATTTTCGAACCCAAATTTAAAATTCCTACCCCCCCTCCCCCCCTGCTAATTTCTGACAAGTCCCTTAACACTTACAAATCTCTCGCATCTCTTGTAATTTTGTATCGGTCAGCATTGAAATACTCTTGAAATAATGTCCGATAGCGATGTATTCCTAACTTATGCAAGCTCTACCGAGAGTTTAGATACATCGTACTCAAGTAGATTCAGCCCTACGAAGGAGAATTGCGTGCTACTAGACGGTTTCTCGCGTGCGGTTTTCAGGTCAAGATTAGAAGAAAAAACTCCCGTTACTGAATGTTTAGTTTGTTGCGTTTGTGTTTTGTTTTCTATGATGAAATCTATGTTAAGAATGGGTAGCTGTGTTCGTTTTTGTTGACATAACATTTTATTCCTTCGCGCTAAGCGCGGGGAAGGCTCCCCTGGTCAGTGCTCTAGAGTTTCGTTGCTCCTTTCCTCAAAGATTGCAAAGGCTGAGGCTGTCGTCGTCGAGCCGGTCAAACGGAAAACGAGCGAATTTATTTAAAATAGAGATTTTAATGGAGAAAATTTCCTTAGTTTAAGTGCAGCATTGCCGTATGACCCATTTCGCTCAATGGCAAAGAACTGACATCGGTGTTATAAATTAGTATTTCCTATGCATCGGCTTTCACACAGCGCTTAGATTCGCTACCATCTAATTCAATTAATTTTTTTGTTTCTTTATTTTTCTCGTTGGAATGCTGTTATCACATTGACTGCTATTGTTGCTACTTTTAGTTTCTTGAGGGCAGGGGGGAAATGATAGCTCGTGGGATTTATTTTCTGAGAATACACGGCCCCTTCGAGCCTGTGTTTACACAGGCGGCCCAAGCTCCAGCTGTGAGATGATCATCTTGCGCAATAACAGTCATGGCGGAATTATAAGAGTTTGTATGGGCATATTTACGACCGCTCTAAGGAATAAAAAATACGTCAAAAACCTCACCTTACTTCCACAGTGTGTCGCTTGTTATCTGACCGCTTACTTTGATGAAAAGAGCCCATTTAAGCAAGTTGTTTATTTCGAGGTTTTCAACGTACATAAGAAAAGCCTTTTCTTATGAACGTTGAAAACCTCGAAATGGACAACTCGCTAATATGCGTTCTTTTCATCAAAGTAAGCGGTCATATAACAAGCGGTACGCTGTGAAAGTAAGGTGAGGTATTTTTTTTGAGAATTTGACGTATTATTTTATACCTTAGAGCGGTCGTAAATATTCCCATACAAACTCTTATAATTCCGCCATGACTGTTATTGCGCAAGATGATCATCTCACAGCTGGAGCTTGGGCCGCCTGTGGTGTTTATGCCAGTATCCGCCAGAATTTTCGCACTATTCACGCAACAGGATATCGGCCAGTTCAGGAGAGGGCTTGAAATTTATCACAAATAATGTATTTCTGGTAACAAAATAACAGAAAACAGAAAAGTGCAAACTGAATGTAGTTATGTGGAAAGACAAGGGGTATGAGTACATCTCAAGCGCGTGAAATAAACCTGAACAATAAGGAGCTCACCATTCTTCGCTTGCGACATGTCAGCCAAAAATAATGTTGAACAATCGTTTACGGTGTGGGAACAGGCTCCTTAATCAGCATTCTTTTAAGCTAAATGCTTTAGTTATCTTCCCCTAATTTGTCTAGTGGTATGTGTTCGTAACAGCCGCCTTCAGAGCCGGTTCGGAGCATAATGCCGACGACATTGAAGAGTAAAATCTCCTCGATGTCAACGATCGAAACGCGTCCATTTGGCTATACAGCTACATCCTTTTGAAAGTAGTGTATAGAAATACCCGGTACATGTGTATTATTCTTGTAGCTAACATCATTTGGCGCTCCGGCCACGCAATACGCTCGTCTTATCTTCTTGATTTCTCCTTTCTCCACCATAGTTGCCGACGTGTCTTCACAGTTTCTACGTCACAACCATGTAACATGATCGTTTTGGCCGCGCGCTTAATGGGGACACTTTTTGGCCGCCAAATCGTACTTTCAATGCACCAAAAAAATTGGCCAAGGAGAACTCGCCAGGCGCTTAAATCGATTATTTCTAATTATGAATATAGCTATCAACCGAAAAGAAGCAAAACAAAATTCCGTGTCATAGGCACTTTAAAGGAGAGGCGCTTCTTGGAAGGAGGAGGGGTGTTTATTGCTCTCCTGTATCGATTTTGCCGTAATTGAAGCTTAAAAAGTTAAAAAAAAAATAAGTGGCGATAGAAACAGGTTTTCCTTCTATCCCTACTTTTTAAGGAAGTGAGGGAGAAGGGGGGCGCTTATTCGAGAGGGGCGCTTGTTTTACATCATGGCTGAGGGGGTTGGGCGCTTCTTCGGGGAAGGGCGCTTATTAGAGCGTCGACGTTTATTCGAGAATACGGTGTATGCATAATC